ATAGTTACCCGGGTCCTCCCTTTTTTAAAGATGGAGACCACGTTGGCTATCTTCCAATCATCTGGCACCTGGCCTGAGCACCACAAGTGCTCATAAAGCCATGCCAAAGGCCCTGCAATAACCCCTGCTAGCTCCCTCAACACCCTGGGGTGGAGAGCATCTGGACCCGCTGATTTGAACATGTCCAGCCCCTCCAGAAGCTCTCTAACCCAGTCCTTCCCAACCTGAGGTCTGGAAGTGTTCCCCTCGAGTCTGTTTTGCATCACGGTGGGGAAGTCCCGGTCCATGCACAAGAAAACGGAGGTGAAGAATTGGGTAAAGAGGTCTGCTTTCTCCTCTGGCGCAACCACCAGATTGCCCAAAGGATCTTGCAAGGGCCCCACATTTCCCGGTGTTTTCTTCATCCTCCCTATATATTTGAAAAAGGACTTTTTGTTATCTTTGATTTTGGATGCAAGTCCTAGCTCTATGTCCGCCTTAGCTTTCCTGACAGCCCCCCTACAGGCCAGAGCAGAGGAGGTATACTCCTCTTTGGAGATAGCACCCCCCTTCCACCGGTTGTACACCGCCTTTTTGGCAATCGGGCATTCCTGTACACTCCTGGTAAGCCAGGGGGGCTTTCGGGCACTCCTGCCCCCCTTGCTTTTTGTTGGGATGATCACCCCTTGGGCCCTGAGTATCGTCTCCTTAAGGAACAACCACTCATCTTGGGCATAGCCACATCTCTCTTCTCTCCATGATTAGTTCTAAAGGTTGGCCTCGAAAGAATGGGCACAATGAAGCAACCACAATGAAGTGCTTTTCTGTCTCTGGATGACTGACTGCCTGGCCTGTCAGAAAATTCCTGAGCTGGTTGAATGGGTCACCTTTGAAGACTGCAGTCAGAGTTCCATGATCTAAGATAATTGTAGTAGGCCCATGTCTCTGGAGTCCCTTAGTTAAGCATCACTTCTGTCCGAGGCTACCAGTGAGGTTGCTATGGCAGATTTGCCCTTGGTCCAAAACTCAGTGGAATGAATCTGAATCGGAGTATATGGTGTGAAATGAGACTGATTCCAGGGAGTCTTTGTCACATCTTTGTTATTCCACCTTGCTGTAGGTAGGACAGAAAAAATGTCTCTTGGGTTAGAGCCCCCTATCTGCACTGGGAGGTCCTGTCTGCACCGGGTATGTTTTAAAGGTCCTATGCTACTGTTGGTAAGATGGTTACCTTGATGACCACAGTGACTATCACTTCTTTCCCAGAAGTTTGTTAGGCTGTGTGCTATACCTGATTAGTAGTCATCCTACACAGCTGACTTCCTTGCTATAGAGCTGTGTGTATGTGGAATGTAAAGTACTTCAGGATCCTCTGCCAAATGAAGTGCATATGAACATAGGTGATTTGCATTGGTTTGCCTGGAGAACAGATATGGAGCCCTAGCAAGAGAGGAGGAAGAGCACATTCCACTGGTGGAAAAGGCCACGCCAGGCATCCCCAAAATTAGGAGGACTGAGACCACTGCCACCAAGAGGAAGCAACAAGTGCTGTACTGGTGGTTGGTGACTCCCTTCTGTGGGAAAGAGGCATCCATCTGCTGGCATGACCTGTTGTCTCAGGAGGTCTGCTGCTTACCCAGATCTGAGATATCGCAGAAGGATTCCCAAGACTCATTCCACCCTCTGACTACTACTAGAGGTGCACCGATACATTGGTCTGGTATCGGATTGGCACTGATATAAGAAAATTGGCTGCATCGGAAATCAGCCTAATGTGGCCAATAAATGGCCCATGCATGCACGCAGCTACAGCACAGCACATAGGTGGTGAGGAGCACATCCCGGCAGCTTTTAGAGCTGTGTGCAGCTGATAGGTCTTTTGTGGTGGATGTGGAGGGGGGAGGGAAGGGGTGTAGGGGGGCAAATCAAGGCCCCTGTGGTGAGGGAGAAAGTGGGGCTGGGGCAGGCACTGCCCAGCAGGTGTGGAGCAGGGTGCAGGATGGAGCCGTGGATCATCTGGGTGGGGCAGCTCCCACTATTGCACGCACCTTGGGAGGGCACATGGGGGTCATGTGCCCCCCAGATCTGTGCAGGGTGGGCTGCAGGCTGGGAGGAAGGGTTGGGAGGCCTATGGCAAATTTGGGGTGGCTGCATTCTTTTCTCAAAGTATGTAGAAAACACTTTAAGTTGTGTCTGTGTCCGAATCGCTGATTCACTGAATTGGCATTGAATCTTCAGATCCCGATTCAGCCAAATCTAACTGGGGACAGTGATCCGAATCAACGAATTGAATCGCTGTCCCTGATTCGGGCCGAATCTGAATCTAATAGGGCCCACTTCACACACCCGTAGCGAACACATGTTGCAGATCAATGCATGGCTGCACAGCTGGTGTCACCAGCAGGGCTTAGGCTTCTTCAACCACAGGATGTTGTTCCAAGGAGAAGGATTGTTAGAAAGAGATGGGATCCACCTGATGAAGTGAGAGAACATCTTCCCAGACAGGCTTGCTAACCTAGTGAGGAGGGCTTTGAGCTAGGTTTGCTGGGGTATGGAGACAAAAGCCCTGAGATAAGTGGGGGAGCAGATGATCTGAAAGAAACACCAGCAGGAGGTGACAGTAGGGGAAGCCTTCTCATTCTTCCTGAGAAAGTAGGGCAATTGGCTAGTTACCTCAGATATCTATCCATGAATGCACAGAGCCTGGGAAATGAGCAGGAAGAACTGGAAGTCCTTGCATAGTCACAGAACTATGATGTGATTAGAATAATGGAGACTTAGTGGCATAGCTTGCATGACTGGAGTACTGTCATGGATAGGTATAAACTATTCAGGAGGGACAGGCAGGGGAGAAGAAGAGGGGTTTCTGTTTCATGTTGGTGCATACAAAAATGAAGTCTCTAGCACGGTCCAGTGGAGTCTGTAAGGCGAAAAAGGGACAGGTGGGAAATGGGAAATGCCACTTAGCAGATCCCATTCCAGTGCCATTCTGCAGATGTTTTGGCCATCTTGCTCTGTATTAGTGAGTGTTGTACATTTAAGGAAATGTTGCATCAAATCCTCATAAAGCCATTAATGAACAGGCACAGATTGCATAGAATATGTGCCTGTTCAGACATCATTTGCTTCTGAATGCCGCCATTGCACCCAAGATGAAGCCTTTGCAGCCCACAGGTCATTAAACTAATTTTCCCCAGTATCCATATCCACATACTCCCTGCTTCCAAAGGTGTGGACTTGCCCAATGCCTGGCCCTGCCTTAAACACACTCCCTGTCTGTGCATAATGCCACTCTGCTTTGCCTTTTACAGTTTTTTGTTTTGGGTGTTCATTGTATATGAACTCTGCCCAGGGCTTTGGGACTGCTTTGGAAGTGTGGGTGGAACAAGGCCTTCCACAGTTTTTAAGGAACCAGGACTTTTTTTGGTAGAAAAAACAGTATTAGGCCAGGTTTAGAGTCACAATGTCATATGCCTTTCTTCTTCTGTATGGAGGAAACATAATGATGTCTCTCCTTGGGGACAGTGAACCAATCTTGCCCTTCCAGGACTGCTTGAAGCCTTTGTGCCCTACTGCAACATAAAGTAAAGCCACGTGGACCAACCTCATGTGCCAGAGCTGGTTTGGGGAAATACTGCAGCATGTTAGTTTTCCCACCTGCTGCATGTACCTGACTAGTCCTCCTTCCCTACATTATTTCTCCGTGGCAGTGGCCAGGGTTTGAGTTGTGAATTAACAGTGTGCCTTCCTCTCTATAGCTTCCTTGTTTTCCTTCCTCTTGCATTGTCAGTTTAATTCAGTTACTGAGAGATTCCTGTTATGGAATTTGTCAAGCGATTTAATGTCTGCACAGCTCCTGGCTATCCAAAATCAAGTTTAATTTTAGTAGAGATGTGGATGTACCTATCAAAGTATCCATCCGTATGCATAACTCTTAGGCTTGAAACAAAGTGCTTGCTGCCTGCCTGTCTCAAACAGCTTTCCTGAAATCCGTAGCTAACAATATACACTTCTTATTTCTTAGTGCTAAGGCTGGCCTCTAACCAGTGGAGTCTAGGGATTAAAGAATGTGGTCATCTTTCAAAGCACTATATTTTTGTACCGGTGTTGCGGCTCATTATTTGCAACAAGGAGTAAAGTTTGTCCACTCTGGAGGACTGACTTCTGAATAGGAAACAGAAAACTGGAGACAGGGGCACAGAACAGTAGCAGATCTTGTATTGACCTCTGTTAAATCTATCTTTAGAAGATCACTTGTGGCTGGACACATGATATAAATGGGTTGTTTTCAGGCTTTTACTGTGTTCAGGTTGGTAATGTGCTCTTAAGCAGTTTACTTAAAGCAGTGGTTTCCAAACTGGGTTCCACAGTAGGTCAGCAGGGGTCCTGCAAAGAGATTGGGGCAGTGCACCTCCATTACCAGGTTGGGTCGCCTGGCTCCACATCAGGCTTCAAGATAAGGATAGGAATAGGGGTAAGGGTTCCATAGCAGAAGAAGTGATTCAAAAGGGTTCTGTTTCTTTAGGAAGGTTGCAAACCACTCACTTAAAGAAACTTATCGTTGTGCTGTGTGATTGGGGGCACCCAACACAATGTGGGTATTTATAACAGGGAAGTGGAAATCTGTAGTTTGGGGCCTTGTTTATTTGATTGGGTGGTGCTAATCTTAGAATACCACACTGACTTAGGCTACTTAGGAATGCTTTTTCTTTGAGTTGGTGTGTTCCCTTTCCTCGTTCAGTGAAAACAAGTTGTTTTTCATTCTAATGCAGTGGATTTGTCTGCACTGTAAGCTACTTGCTTTGGATTTTTTTTGTTTTGTTTCACCTTTGCTTACCTTAAGGATATTTGCTTTTCTGCGGATGTTGTGCTGTTTTTGCCCTCCTTTCCCTTTCATCCTTGGCTCCCCTACGATGCTGTAGGATTTGATATTCCCCTTTTCTGACCTCAATCACTTATCTGTCTGTTTCTATGCATGTCAAAAAGCAAGTTAATATGTGAAGACTCAGAGGAAAACAGGCTTAAAAATGAAAGAGTTTATTACAGAAATGGAAAACTTTTGAAATTAAAATATATATATAATGTCCATTGCATAGACTTTGCAGGTTTGCATAGAATGCTTTTCTAATTTGCAGTATGAATGGTCAACAAGTACATAAGGCATTTCACAGGACTCTTCAGTCTCCTGTTTCATACAAGACAGACATTTTAAATTGGGCTCAAGTCCTCTTTAAAAAAAAAACTGAGTAAAAGTAGATTTATTAACTACAATCATCTTTTTTTCTTTCAAGCAACAATATGGCTGCAGGAAGAATCTTTTAACAATTATTTTCAAATGCCTTTGTGTAAGAAGACAACACACAGTTTTATTCAAAGCAAAACCTTTAGGCAGTGCTTAAAAAAGCACTCTGAACAAACTTTGAAACTCTTGGGCATGATGCCAGCCCAGTGAGTGAGGACTTATTTTTTCATTTTTCCTGGCACTTGAGGATTCCAGTAGAGCTTTTCTCATAAATGTATTGGTTTGAATTTTTATTACAGTCATATAAGGAGAAGCATATTTAATACATTTCCCTTCCTCCTCCAGTACATGGACAGCTTGTCCCAATTTGCTGGTAGGCATTTATGGAGTATGTCTCTCAAAAGCAGTGGGACAGAGACCTGAAACTGAGGGAACAATCTTATGCTTGTGAACCGTAAGGCAGAGTGTTAAATACTAGCCCCTCTACACTATTTGAGTTCTTTGTAAATGAAAAGGGAAAATTAACAGTAGCTAAAAATTAAGGTTTGAGTATCATAAAATAAGAAGCAATGGAGCCATGCTTCAAATTCAGCTTGGCTTTGCAGTGACAACCCAAGTCAGTCGAGATGCCTTCTGGTATGTTGTGTTGTCCATGGGATGCTTTGTTGTATTAGAGTCTCACATGCTCTATCCCTTGTTTACTAGCATTTCAGATGAACATTAAAAGAACCTTCTCCCCTTGCTGTTTGGGAATAATGTAAGTGGTAAGCTTCTCACCATGTTTATTCCCTGTTCACTTTGAGACTTTCTGCCATTGTGATGAAGGAGGCCACTATTTTGGTCTTTGTGCTAGAAACAAAATAAAGGTGCAGCTGGGAATCTATTTGTTAAAGCCCACAGAATGGCATCTAAGCATCCTGAAGGACCTTCTAGTATTCCTACTGGATACCTGTATCCTCGAGAGCTGCCCCATATCTGTATCCCCCAAAGCAGGTAGGGCAGGCCCCTCCCAGGCTGTGCTCTCTGGGACTACTTTCTTGCATTGGATCCTTCCTGTGCCAGGAAAGTGGGGGTAAAACTCTAGGACAGAACAAATATAATCTTCCAATGCCCAGATTTTCAACTTGATTTTTTCTGTGTGGGGAGAATGGGCCCAGTAACTGGAGGCACATTTTATGAGTTATTTCTAAGCTAGTAATTGCTTAACACTTTAAAACACATCTCTCTCTCTCTCTCTCTCTCTTTTGGACTTGGTAGAAACTGTCTCCCTTGACAAGACTGCATCCACCCTTAGTAAACATAGACATTACAGAGATGGTAAGGAGGAGGTAAAAGCTTTCTTCCTAGAGATCTCTGAGTGGTCAAATGCTACAGCAGCTCAGCTAGTCCCAATGCTAGTGTATCCACAATACTGTTCCTGAAGGTGCTGCTAATACAGGAGGTCCCAATCCTAACCTTTGAAGGGAAGCGCCATAACATGAGAGAACTTGGCTTGGCAAAAATGTGCCTGCCTTCTCTCCTGTGGCTACTTCAGTATTATCATGTAATGTGTAGTCACTATATAGCCCTGGCATTAGCGCACCTTATAGGTGAAGTAAACCATTTCTGTGGAGTGTTTGACAATGTCAGGCTCTTCCTCTTCTAGGGAGTGGGGTTGCTGTGGCTGTACAATGAAGTGGTTCCCTTTAGGGCTTGAAATCTTCTGCCCGTATCTTCATCTCAACCCTCTTCAGGGAGTAGGTTGAGCCATACCAGCCATACCAAGTGATGCCATCCATGTTCTTGGTGTGTTCCCCCTTGCGGTAGTAAACCCCATTCAGGTTGGAGTCTGTACAGCAGTTGTACCAGTATCCGCCTTTCAGGAAACAGATGAATTGAGTCATTGCCAGTTTTTAAGCAGTGTGTGACATTTGTTATAGGCTTTTAATATGTATTACTGTCCTTCCCCAAGGAGTAAGGGAGGGCTAGTGTGCAGACATTATTTAGATATGTGTATACACACACACACACTATAGAGCTTAATAAAAAAAAAATGCAGATAATTTAATCTGTCACTGACTGCAGCTACCTCTGTGATAGCCAGGTAGATAGCTGATGCATAGTACACTGACCAACAGTGTAGGCAGGTAAAATACTGGTCGAGAACACCAGGGCAAATGCTGATATGTACAAAAAACACAACTGAATCGCTCTAAAGTAAATACTAAGCAGACCAGGTTTTAATTTTTAAATTGCCCAGATTAGTGCACACTCCAAAAATGGTCATTGGTTCAGTGAAAGAGCATTCAAATGCTAATGACTTAAAATGATCAATGAGCCTCACTCCAACCATGATGACACCTCTGAGTTGCACAGAGCAGTTTGTTCAGACACGGGCAGAGAAGGAGGTTGCCTTACCTTTGCGGAACTTGGCACAGTCATCCACACACTTGTCGTTGTCCTTGTCCTTGGTGCTGAAGGCTGTGTTGTTGTGGTACCTTAGGGAGTCGCGCCCCGTGGTGCCCGTATAGTTCCCCAGGAAAAGGCGGTAGCTATTATATTCATTGCTCAGGGTGAAGTGGTTGTATTGTGCATAGCGGATGTTGCCTTCCCAGTCCTGCCCCAAGGGGTGAACAGGAAATAGCTTCCATTAGAAAATGTCCTAAGCCAGGTTTGCAAGCAGTGTTTACTTAATATGTATGTATGCATGTCTCCTCTGTGCCCTACAACAGAGCAGCTGGATTTGCAGTGGTAACTTCAGTCTGTTAGCTTGAAGGTGAGAGGTCAGATTCCTGGAACCCCTCTGACAAGGTAAACAGCATCTGTCACTTAGCACAGCAGTCCGCCTAGCAACCATGGCATCTTGCCTGCTAGTCTGGTCTGCACTGTTATTAAGGGTTGTACACAGGAATCTGGTGTGCTTCCCTTGCATCCATCACCTTGTCCTGTTGCTGTAGTTGGCCTTTACTCTTTATTTTGTGTGTTGTTTTTTGGGTGTGTTGTTTTCCCTCCCTCAAGCAGTGGGTTTTTTATTGTAAAAAGCCCCAGGATCCTCTGTTTCCTTTGTAAGCACAGGTCTGTGGGGCTGCAGTAACAACTGCCATACCTCCAACTGGAAACTGGCATTAATGGACTGCATAGGAGGCTGCTCCTGGAGAGTGCAGTGCTTCCCCTCCTCCCTGTGTGCCAGGTGTGCTGCCCCAACAAGTGCCCCAAAATCCAAAATAACCCTTGCTGGGCATCCCTGCAAATTAAGTCCTTGGAAAGTGCTCAGCAGCTTTATCCCTCTATATCTTGGATTACTACCACTATACTTCAGTGGCTGGAAAAATTCACTCAAGGGTCCTCTAGTGTAGCATTTCTCAACCTGTGGGTCAGGACCCAAAAGTGGGTCACAAGAATATACAAAAAGTTCATGAGCAAACTTTAAAAATGGGTCAAACTTTAAAAATGGATTCTCCTTTAAAGGAGAGAAATGTGGGAAACCATGGCTTTCCTAGCCTGCAAAAGAAGAGTTCCAGTTTGCGAGGGGCTGCTTGCTCACACCGCTGCCCCACACACTGGGAGGGCTGGGGCCTGGGGGTTGGGGGCAGCAGGTCAGGAGTAAGGGGCACTGGGTCAGGACTGGCCACTGATGTTTACAAGTGAGTCCTGGTACAAAAAAGGTTGAGAAGCACTGCTCTAGAGCATGCAGCTCCTCCCAAAATGCATTCTCAAGTTGCCAAAGGAGATGCTGTTGTATTGACTCTATGCAGTAAAGGATATTGCACTTCCATGACCCTGATGCTCTTACCCAGTCTGCCTTGCATCACTGCCTACAACCTAGGTGTGCAAGTCCTTGGACCCTCCACAGCTGCTAGGAGGTCATTTGTTTACCAACGAGCTTGTCACTGCTGTGACCAAAAACTTGCCCATTACCTCCAGTTCCACGCGGAGCACAGTCGGGCGCTTGGAGAGCCGATAGATATGTTCATTACCCAGCCAGAAGTCTCCCCGGATGTTGCCAAACCCCTCTTTGTACTGCTTCCAGTCCCGATTAAATGAAATCAGACCAACTTTGCGCCTCTGGATGATAGTCCAGCCACCACCATCGGTCTCCATGTCACAGTACACCTGGAGTAGGAGAGGATGCAATGCTAACTAATCAGCAGGGTTTCTAGGATCCATTTCCAGTTCCACAAAACAAGACCCTCCACAGTAAACCCCCCCTGTTAAGGGAGTTGACTTATTTGCTGACAGTCATGAATGACTGATCTTCTCAGCACCTTTTCCCCACTCTCCATCCCTTTCCCCCAAAACCTTCCAATGCAAGTTCCTGATCTAAGAGATGAGATGGGACTTAACAGATGCAATGTGTGGTGTCCCTGTTTTCTCTGTTTTAAAAATTGGACTTTGAGATAAGGGTAGATTGTGGAGGAGATTATACAGACACATGGCTTGTATGCATGGCATCCTCACCTCCAGTTCAGGGCTCCCCAGGAATTCATCAGGGGGCAGCTTGTAAACCCCAGAGATTCTGTAATTCCTCTGGTAAAGGGAGGAGCAGTCGTAGACGGCATCTGCATAAATTAAAGGCAGGAAGTAAGGGAGAATTCTCTTTCATTGCTGAAAGTCAATGAAACAAATGGCCCAGATACATAGTCTGTTAAATCTGATATTTCTGACCGAGTGGGCAAAGAGATGGGGTTTATAAGGCTCTGGAGTAAATTGCAAAACACCATTACTGGACATGGTGCTAAAATAAACAGGTACTGGAGTTTATTTTTGTGCACTTAAAAATCTGAATTTTCCACTCTATGGATGAAGAGTTCATCCTTCTTGTAGCTCATTTGCCTAATGATGTCATTAAAATTCTAATTCTCAGGGATAGAATTTACTTTCCCTCCACCTCTGGCTTTTTGCCATAAAAAAAATACAGTGAACTGGCTTTGTGGGTTTGATCGGGGAGGCAGTGTTAGTGGTCTGGTTTTCTCTGGGTTGTGGGGTGCTGTGAAAGCAGCATGCTTGTCACCCATGGGCAAAGAAATGCCAGTCACTTAAAAGACACATCTCTGACCTATTCAGGAGCAAAGCAGATGGGACTCCCAGGTGCTACTGTCTCAGAGTCCTGATGGCAGGATCTTGAAGGAGACCAAAATGGGGAGCTCCCTAATGCTCTAACATGCATCTAGGGACTTCATTCATCATAGAAGAGCATCTGTTGTCTCTTAGCTTGATAATTTGACCTTTTGCTGCATCATACAAAGCTCCAGGCTTCACAGGCATCTCTCATTTGGTTTAGAAATGCCACGGTGTTTGAATAAATGGTACTGATGGGAGAGGCCATATTTGCTGTCCCTGCAAACGGACAGTGCTTTTCTGAAAACGTGCTGCCAGCTACCATTCTGCAGCTGGGTATAATGACTGAGTTTGAATGGGGCACATTGTACAGCAATCTTTGTATCGCAGTCAGCAATGGAGATCATGGCATGTTAACCAGTTGGCCTTAGGATCCTCTTTCCCTCTGCCCAGGAGTCTGTTAAAGACTGCTGATTTGTAGAGCTGTTTTTACAGAAAGGGAAAAAAACTAGTTGAAGTGAAGATTTATCCCACTGACAGCTGACTTTCACCTGGCAGCATGAAACTCTGAATTCCCTGCATCTGGTTGCTGAAGTCCCTACTTGGCTGGCTCTTCTTCTGTGTGCCGAGTTATTTTATGAAACCACATTGCAGCTTTCCTCTGCCCTAATGAGACTCATTACAGTAAAACCTTTGTTTGTTCGAGATTCAAAATCTATACGAAGCAGTGTGTTAAAACCAACAAAGCTTCTCCTTTTTCCTTAACCAAAGTGCTGATGGGCTTAAATTTATTTTGCCCTTGCAAAAGGAACTGAATAAAGGTGTTCAGCAAATCCCTCCATCCTGCACAATAGTAGTTTTTGTAAGGAAATGTTAAACTTCTTGGAATGGCTTGGTTTTCCTCTCCATCCCAAGGCTTTTGTGCCTGGAATTTTTCAACAACTTCAGGCCTAATGGACTAAATCATTAAAAAAGATAGACAGAAAAAGCTGGACCACGAATCATATCTGCATTCTGTCATCTTTCATTCAGGCCTGGGCAACTGTGATGCACTTTGAAATTCTCTGCCGAGGAATGGAAGTACTTTAAGTTATTGAAATATGTTGGAATGAGAACTATCAGAGAGAGTGCATCTTGCATCATCTAACACCTTGGATCTCTGAGAGCTATTGCACACATTTAGTCTGGCACAAAGTCTCCAGTATTGGCTGGAAAGTTCCTCTAATTTTTTTTTTACCAACCTTTGGTCATCTACCAGCATTCTGGACAATGAGGGAGTCTTATTGCCAGAGGCTTTCCCCAAACAAGCTGACTGCCTCTGTTCAACTTAGGATCTTAGTACTCAGAAAAGCAAGGAGAAAAGATGCATTAAACTGAGTCCTGCCTTGTGGAGTTTCAGGACCGATTCTGCCCTGCCAACCCTTAGATGAGAGCATATCTGACAACTGGATTTTTGTCTTTCTTGTAAAAGAGCCTGGGAGGCTTTTTCCCTACTTTCTGTCTGCAGAAGTGCCCTGGGCAGACTGGTTTTGAGCATGCACGGTTACCAGCTGCCTTAGTAGGACATGCCAGCCTTAAGAGCTGCCGGATAATTTGATTTTGTGCATTAAGAGGTGTCTGTGGGAGCTGGGAAACTCCCTCCTTACCAGCTGAAGTCTGGGTGACTGTCTGTGCCGCCTGGAGCTGCATGATGCCCATCTGGCTGTTCATTTCAGAGTACTTGCTCTCTACATCAGTGAGCCGGGACTCCAGCCTCTTGGTGATTTCTTCCAGCTTCATCGCCTGCATGACCACATTCACCCAGTCACCTTCCTGCTTCTTGTTCAGCTCCCCCATCACAGCGCTCATGTTGGCAATCTGCAGCTTGAGCTCCTTAACCTCATTGCAACAGCCAGTCATTTTGACCTGGGCATTGCTGTTAACTGTTCTCCTCTTGGGAGGCTTCTGCAGCCATGCGGGGTAGATGGCCACGGACACAGTGAGAATGCAGAGCCATGCCAGCTGGGCAGTGACTTTGGCCGGCATTTTGCACTCCCAGCAGCAAGGAACTTCCAACTGCTTTCAGACAAAGTCAGCTCCAGATGGCTAGAGTGCAGTGGGCCCAGGTATGAAACTTTCTTAGTGCTGCAGCAAATGGGTATCTGAACTCTGCTTCTCTCCCTCTCTGTCTCTTTTTCTCTCTCTCTCTCTCTGTCTCAATGAAGTGAATGTCCCAAAGCTGGAGCTCAAGGGCTGTTTGGGTATTGTTTTATTTTCCCCCAGCCTTTTCCTCTAGCAGTTTGTGGTCTCTGGAAACCTCTCGCACAGCATCTTAAATATCTTTCTCCCCTGTTTACCTCCACCCCTCTGCAGCCGTACGCAGTACTCTAGCCCCTCCCAGCTCATCTGTTCATATCAGGTGCTTACCAAGTGAAATCAATGCAGGCTTAGGCCAAGAAAGGAGGGGGGTGGCTGGAGATTTCCCTCCACTCAGCTCTGCCACCTCAGGGTGGGGGAGAGGTCTAGGAAGTCGTGAGCGTTTCCAGTAAGCTTATTGGATTGTAGCCTTTTGGTGACTAACTCTAGCACGTTGGTAAACAGAAGAGCATCCAAAGTCCAGGATGGAAGGGCTGTCCAAGCTGGATGATTTTGTAAGAGCTTGAGCAAGGTGACCCCAAGGGGAATACTTCACGTAACAGTCCAATTAAAGCATTCCCCGTGAGCCAAGTCTCCTGTGTATTCATTTTGCCTTGCTTTGATACAGAGCTTATTTTAGCCATTCAGCAGCTAATCCAGAGGATCCATTGCATCTGGACTAGGCATTTCTTAGACTCTAGAAGTGCTCCCTTCAGAGAGATGCTCACAAGGCAACATGATGGAGGTTTACCAAAGAGTGTTGAGAAGATAAATCACATGCCGCTGCTTCCCCACCCTCAGAAGATAAGGACAAAAGGGTCAGTCGGCAGTGTCAAAAGGCAGCCCCTTTTTTAAAAATGACAAAAAGATTCCCCTCCTCCCCCCCCTCCCCTTTTTTTGCACAATACACGATCAGTCTGGCAAAAACTTCAGGATTGTGGCAGGCAGGATCTTAACAGGGTTGGAGGTGCGCGAATGACACTTGATGGGATAACTGGAACCTCCCAAGTTAATGTAAACCAGAAGATTTCAAACTAAATCTTATAAATCCTCCCAGGTTCAGAGCAGTAAGCCAGGCATTGGCTAGTGAGATTAGGGGCTTTCAGCAGCCTCTTGCATTTCTTCTGAGCAGTTTGAAGGCTCCTCCAGCTCCGTTCAGTCCTTCAGTAGAAACAAAGCCAACAGTGATGGTGCAGCCTGTGGACATAGGTGACTGACGGTAGCTCTCAGTTCCCAGGAAGCAGATTATGCTGAAATTGTCCAATAGAGGGGCTTTTATGCCTCCCTCCAAAGCTTTGAGTAGTGATCAGTGAGAGAGGCATGGTATCGGATTGAGCACACGTCTGATCCCATCGGATTGCTCCCATGGTAAAAAGTCACGGGCGTCTGTTTCAATAAAAATCAATCTGCTGCGCCTGGTATGAAGAAAATGTGAACAGCACAACTGAGCCATGTTGCCCCAGGTGGAATTTTTTCGGTAGTCTAAAAAGGAAGTAGACTGCATGTCAATAAACTTTGCTACCCTGGTGCATCTTGGAAGTGTGGAAATGGAATTGGCACCGGTACTCTGTTTCTCTTCTGCTCCCCAGTTTTGTTATACTTATTGCTGGAGACTTCAGTGCTGGGGGCTGATTACCTTTCCAACTGGCCTAGTCACTTTTCAGCAGGACAGCAGCAATGGCCCAGCAAGTTGAAAGGGAGCAGGAAGGTGAAAGTGCCAAAACATATGCAGAGATGGAGTGAGGTGCTGGATACTGGTGAGGGGAGAGCACAGGTGACCAAAAACGCTGAACAAAGAGCATGGGCATCTTGGACTTCATCCTGGCTGCTCCTCCTGTGCAGTGTGCTTTAGTCACACCCCTGCCAGGAAAGACACAAGCAGGCAAGGCTCCTACACGTTTCTGATGACCTGAGATGCCGCCAAACTCTTTCAATCAGAAGTGACAGTCATTGTTTTCTGGAAGTGCTAAAGCCCCCTCTATTTATGGCAGAGCAGTAGTTGCCGCTTCACTTGTTTTTCTCCTGTAGGCATTTCAAGAGCAAAACTGCTTTTTATGCCTCAGTCCAGCATGTGCTACCACACACAGACCAGAAGCCTGACCTTGTTTTGCTCTTGATCCTGTCTGAGCCCCCTTCTAGTCAGCACTTCTGCTTTTACCAGGGGGCAAATTCTTCTCATTTGCCAATGACAAGAAATATGTTATGAGTCACAATTGAAGACTGAGAAAGGAATGAGCTGACGGCTTTTTTTTTTTTTTTTGTACCCTCTTTCCTTTCCTCAAAACTCACCTTCCCATTATTTCCCCTGTCCTGCTACTTAGAAGGATGTGGGGCCAGCCTTTTCTCTGACCAGTTTTAAGTGTAGCTGTTCCTAGCAGAGATCTAGCAGAATTTCCCAGATCTCTGTGTAACCCAAAGTTGCACTTGCTTTTGTTTGTCTGGGGTCTGGCATCCCAGCCATGCTCTAGGCTAACCTTCCCAGTCCCCTTTCCCTGGTAGTAGGATGGTGGTATAATACATGTCCAGAAGACAGCAGATCCCTTTCCATGTCAGATAGCAAAACTGCTAGGATGTTAGTCACAGCTGGGTCTAATTTTGGGGGTAGCCAGCATGGGGCCATTCCCTGTACAGACCACATGTTGGTGTTATCTAATTGGAAGTGCATGTTAATGTAATCTAATTAGAAGCAGGTACCTCTTATACCTGGAGGGCTGGATTTAAGAGGGATGTGCTGAAATGCTGCAGCCCTCTGGGGAGCTGTTCCAGCAGGTGTGCAGGTTCAAAGGGGGTGAAGATCAGAATGAATTCAGTGCCCTAGGGCTGTTTATTTGGCAGCCACTCACTGCAGAGCACCTTCCTTACAGCTGGTAAGTGCTTTCAGAGACCTGCGTTGCTAGGGTTGCCTGTGAGATTGCTGAAGTTTTCAGCAGTTTCTTCACTGTTGGCAATTTTCAGGAAATCTGCCCAGAGAAGAAATCTTGTGGGGGACTTAATTGGATTTCTTCCCCCTTCCCCCCACGATGTGTAAAAAAGCATCCGTGTATCTAGCTCAGGGGTCGGCAAAATGCAGCCCGTGGGCCAGATGCAGCCCACCAGCCCATTCTATCTGACCTGTGGGGCCCCTAAAAAATTTAGAGAATCAATATTTATCTGCCCCTGGCTGCCTGTCATGCCGCCCTCTGGCTTGCCAAAACTCAGTAAACAGCCCTGCACCCAAAATAATTGCCCGCCCCTGATCTAGCTGAAGCGTTGGAAATATTCAGAATGCTCTTCTTTAATGCATCTGTTCGCAACCAGCAGTCTAATATTAGTTCCTAATTTCTTCTTATTAAAGCCAAACAGAATTGCTGATAGGGCAACTTGTTTGGTTATAGAAGCAATAACAGAGAACCTAGCTAATATCCAAAGACGAGTGTATAACTGTCGTCTTTGCTGACATCAAAAAATGTAATGTGAGAATTATTTAGGCCAATGCATCCTTATTCTCCATATTTGTGTTGGGGAAGTGTCTTGAGCTGACAGTGGAATGAGGACATACGTTTCTTTAGAATCTTTGTTGCTGGAGCCAATAACTATATTCCATTACCGTGGTTGCAAAAATAAATAGGTACTGTAGGAATGCAATTTCCAAGAATAAAGTAATAGCTACATGGAAAGACTCGGTGCCTATTGTATGTTTAATTACTAAACTATGTAAGGAAAAATGTAGCAAATGAGAAGCAAGCTGCTGATACTGTAATTGTTAAAATAGTGTCTGACATTAATATTGCCTCTGCTACAGCCTTTTTTGTATATGGGGGGCCAGAGTCTGGAGGTCTCTGGTCTTGCCTCCCTGCCCCAAATGTTTCCCCCTTTTATTATTTTTCTTACCTGTCTTTTATGGGCAAGGCAAAGGGAGACCTACTACTGCATGAGCAGTGGGAATAGGCATTTTACTGGTATGGTTTTCATTGCCTGTCCCTATGGTCCATGTGCAGGCTTTGCTATCAGTATTGGGAATCTGGCCCGCCTGAATGCCCAGCAATGATTTGATGAGCCCTCACTGCAGATACGAAGGGGGCTTGATCCTGACCACTGAACAGATGGTCACCACAGAGTTGACTGAAAATGCCTTTGGCTGACACTGATTCTTTTTCTAAATTAATTTGCTTCCAACCTAGGAATATTTTTAATGGCTTGATGGAAATGTACTGCGTTGTGTGTTTTATATGTCAGTGTGAGGTGGCGGGTGTTAAGTATGTGGACTCAAAGATGCCTGAAATCACCAAACTGGGGAAACAGAGCAGCAAAGGCAACTCCCTTTGCCCAAAAGTTCTGTTCCCCAAAGGGATCTGCAAGCCAGCAGGGCCCTCAGCTTCACCTTCCAGGAACAAGCTCCCAGCCTTTTTGTACAGGGGAAAATCACCTTGGGTTAGATGAGGGAAACTTTCAAAATGACAGGCAAGAAAGCTGCTTGCCAGGGGTGGAGAAAAGAGAAGAGTTCTCATCCCCTTTTGATTCCTCCATTGTGTTTTCACATCTGAGCATCTGCTTACATGCAGAAACATGGCTTTTCTCTGAAACTTTCTGGCTGACGTGAGATAGTGAGCATGTGCTCCCTCGCTGAGGGAGGTTTGGTTTGCAGCCTCCTGAAAGATGCATTAAAACAAAGCTAATTGTATTGTGAGAAGACGGGAGGATCCAGTCTGCTTTTTGCTTGCTTACTGTTCTCAAATGTTTAATAAACTTTGATTGGCAGACAATATTGCTAGTGACTCTCAGAGAGCAGGAAGAACTGGAAAGCTCCCAAGGATATATGTAAGGAAGAGATTATGTAAGGAAGAGATTATTTCTGGTAAATATTAGACATAGAGGAAAATGTACACTGGGGACAGAAGAGCCCTTCATCAAAATTATTCCTGCTGATCGAAACAGCTGTCTCGATATCATTTGTCTTCATGTTCCCAACCCTTGTCTGATTCCTTTTTGAAAACACAAGTTGTTTTCTCATTCACTGCTTGTTTCCTGAATTCATAGATCTAACATGACATGATCCTAACATAGACCTAGCATAACATGAATTCATAGACCTCTAACCTTCCATCCAGGAAGAGCACACACCAACTGCAGATGCTTCCCCAGTCTGATGAAGAGTATGTATACCCAAAAGCTTGCTAAGAAGAATTTTTCCAACTATTTGAGTTGGTCTAATAAAATATATTAGATTTACCCAAAGAACTTTGTCTGCCTATGTCCTTAGATTGACACAGCTACAACCTATATCCCTGTCCATCTGATTATGTTTTACCTTTAAAGCTTGGGCATCTGCATTTTTCTCTGCCAGCTTTGTGGGGAGTAATTTCATGGGTGTTTGGGGGTTGTTGT